CTCGCATCTCGTGTCTCAGGGCGGACAGCAATGGCATGGAATATTTCTCATACGACAGAGCGAGACACGACAGGGAGATTACGTGCTCACGTTTAACTTTCAAGGACGTGCGAAGGTTTGTGGGGTAGCTTGTGGATACTCAATAAATATTTGCATACTCGCGACCTGAAAATATAAATATTTACAAGCTTTCGTAGTTGGTAATTCCGTAAGAGTGGGTTTATATTTCATGCCGAGTGTTATTTCCGCTGGAGAAAACCACGAAAACAAAACGTTTTTCGCCTTTTATAACAATCTGCTCCGAAACGGCTTTTTATCACTCGTAGTCATTCGTGGTCACTCAAACGGGTCGTCTGTAGCGAGAATTGGTTGCACTTGTAACTCTTGTCTGGACAAAGTGAAATAAAAGAGAGACACACGTCAGCCTTAAGCCCTGGGCAAACTAGGAAACATTGCTTCCTGCCAATGTTTCGCCATGTTTCCCAAGGTGGGCAAACACTAGGAAACATTTCTGCTTCTCGGGAAGCAAATTGTGTTTCTGCAACGATGTTTCCACGGGTGGGCAAACACAGAAGCACTTGAGGAAACATGGCGAATCACAATGTTTCCGCAACAATGTTCCCTAGTTTGCCCAAGGCTTTAATCATGTATTTTTGTTTCAGCATCTACGACTGTCATTGAATGCAGACGGCCATTGTCGTGTACAACATCTCTGGTTCCCAAGTCTCTTCGACATGCTCGAACATTTCCGATCCAACCCCATTCCCCTGGAGAGCGGTGGTCCCTCTGACGTCATGCTTACAAACTTTTGTGTGAATACTGGCGAGGGGGAGGTCACGGCCAGGCAGACCTTGCCGGGGAGGTCAAATCGCAATGAGGGACTAAGGCGATCGCACAGTGTGCAGGCCAGCAGACTGTCCAGAACAGCGGTTATTCAAGGAGGTTCTGTGCGGCTACCGTCCACGTCAGCCAATCAACATCCGATACGAGTACGAGCTGTCGAGAACCACTACGCGGTAATGTAAATAAGATGGCATAACTTGTATACCCTGTATATTATGACTTGTTTTTATCGGTTGGTTTCATTCAGTATTACACGGCAGTAGATGGTGACTCAACTGCAGAAATGTTGATATTATATCGCGGGTATCCCCCAAAAAACTGCACACTGTTTTATTTCATGTGACGTAAAAGCTATAAAAGCTATCGCAATGAAATAAAGATCATTACATTCAGAAAGGACTAACTTAGATTTTGATATATAACACTTGATTTACATGCAACATTGAGCGAGTTACAACCAAAATAAAAATATTTATTATTTTTAACAAGTATAACTACATTGATAATTATAAGGTTTATATGCTAATTTTTGGCATTTTCGAAAACAGTAGTTCAACGTTCAAACATCAATAGCGCAGTCAATATTGCATGCAAATTCAAGTGCTATATATCAAAATCTAAGTTAGTCCTTTCTGAATGCAATGATCTTTATTTCAATGCGAGGCATGAGGCACGTTTGAACAGCATCTGTTGCACGATAATGCCTAGTGAAACCAGCCATTTTAGAAGTGTGTAAATGATATGCAGAAAACTAGTTTAACACGCAAGACATTCACCACACAATGACGTAGTGTATTGAAATTTGACAAGGAATATATTGCATTCTACTAGCACAGAAGTAAAGTATTCTGTAAAGGTAGTATATTACAAAGTAAATTGATGTTTTGCAGCGGTTGTTATTCTACTACTTTACAGTCAATTTCAGCTGACTTTTCACTCAAATGTTCCGAACTTCGTTCCGAACTTCGCAAATTCGTTGCCAAGTTCAAAAGTTCATAATGAAATTCACAAGCGGGTTTGTAAACTGGGCATTTGATTGGCTGGTTTGATTTAATAGCCAATCAGAGGCTTTGTTTACAAACCTGTTCGTGAATTTCATTATGAACTTTTGAACTTGGCAACGAATTTGCGAAGTTCGCAACGAAGTTCGGAATCTTACGGTGAAAAGTCAGCTGAAATTGACTGTAACATGATTCTTCAACGTTGGTTTACTCTATTAGACTATAGTACTCTAAATCTTTCTTTCTATAGAAAACATGGCTGGGAAACAATGTTTCCTGGTTTGTCCACCTTCTGGAAACATGACTAGGAAACAGTGTTTCCTGCTTTGCCCACTTTCGGGGAACATGGTTAGGAAACAATGTTTCCTGCTTTGTCCAGGGAACAATATTTCCTGCTTTTCCCTCCTTCGGAAAACATGGCTAGGAAACTATTTTTGCACATGCTAGATTTGCCTTGCCCCCAAAGATCACAATATGACTCGAACAAAGTTCATGCCAGTTTGAATATGATGCCTATAAAAAGTACTGCATTCTTAGGAACTGCAGATTTATAAAATAACTTATAATCACAGATTCAACATAAAAAATTTGTAAAATTATCGTATAGATGTAAGTAAAATAGATAAAAGACCTCACTGAGGCAAAAACCGTTCTTAAAATATACAGTGCAGTTTTTCTACAAACTTCAGCGAAGCCCTGCTTCTGTGGAAATCTTATAAATATTGTAGTTAGTTCAAAATAAGAATTTTTTGTCAATATCCATATTGCTGTGCTCCCTTTTCAGGGTCCATAGGGTATGCTTGATTGGGTGGGTATGCTTGATTAGGTGGAGGTGGTTGAGTACCAGGTGCTGGTGCCTGATGGATGGTTTGTACTGTGGTCGTCTGAATTTGTGGTTGTTGACCTTGTTGAATCACCACTATACCTGGTGTCTGGTTAAAGTAAAGAGTAAAATATTGAAGTGTTGTGTTGGGAAAACCAATAGCTGTTATTTACTTTCGTTGCACAGAGTTGTCTTTCACCTCCGTGACCGCGGGTTCCAATTCTTGCAGCTGTCTCATTATAACTTCGTCTCGGTCATATGTGAGAAACATTTTGTGTTTTCTCTGGGTACCCCCTCCTGTAGTTACACTGGAGGAAAAACAACATGGGACTGATACAGCATTGGCGGCAATACTTGAAACCAATTTGGGGGCAATACTTGTAACTTTATACAGGGTGTCCCAAAAAAAGTGACACTATAGAAATTATCTCATTGTTCTTAAGCCGCTCTTAAACGCGCGTGTTTACACGCCTGGGAATTTAATGAGCTTGTATTTACATTTAAGCATTTTAAAACGTTTTCGCTTTGTCCAAATATTTTAACGCCCGAGTCAAGCAAAACGATTACACTAATAAACTGTTTGCTTTTTTATTTTAAAGCCTGGTTCACACTGGTCGTAATTCGTCGGCGATCTATTGTATTCTTTACACACCAGTGACCACAGACGATGGAAATCCCCGACTCTTACGATCAGTGTGAACCAGGCCTAAGAAGCAGAAGTTTATGCACCTATGGGATCAACTTAGTGCTAGGGCATTCAAATTATAACAATAGGATAATTTCTATAGTGTCACTTTTTTGGGGGACACCCTGTACAGGGTGTATCAAAAAAAACGCAACCTCGGAATTTCCTAAGAAATCACTTTGTAATTCTTAAGCATAAAAGATTTTAGGCCCCTGGGAATTGAAATCGAATTGCTAATAGATCATATTACTGTTGTTGTGCATTAAATAAATGCATAAATTTTGCTTTATGCACTCGCGTGTGCAGTAATTTTGACAGTTGTGCAATTTTAAATTCCCAGGCGCCTAAAATCTTTTGTCTTTAAAACAATGTCGATTTCTTGGGAAATTCCGAGGTTGCGCTTTTTTTGATACACCCTGTACTGTATAACATGCACGCTTTTGCTTGCAAATAGGCCCTTTACATTATGATCAAAACAATGGGTGGCATGAGAAAAATATGATATTAAAAACATTCCGATGACTGGATCATGACTGGATGACGTGAGAACAGTGGTATTTTCAAGACAATGCAACATTCTGTTTACTGGATCATGACTGTATGGCGTGGAGACAAGTGGGTTTTGAAAACAATGGAACATTCCGATGACTGGATGATGTGCAGAACAGTGGAATTTTGAAAACAATGAAAAGACAATGCAACATTCTGATCAATGGATCGTGACTGAATGACATGCTTAGTGTTATACAAGGATCTAGGCAACTGTATGTTCTTACATCGCTTTCTTTGTCACAGCATGCTCCAATGCAACCAATGATAGAGCCCGCAAATGTAGCAATTATTCCGAGCACACAGAATGCAGTCACTGCTCTGATGATGGCCATCATAGCGTTGATATCATCACAACCTTCAACTGCATGAAATAAATTATACGTCAAGTTAGATATAGCTTTATCAGTTCTAAGTTGTTCCTCCAAGAGGTCCAGTACGAGCCCAGTACAGGAGGAAACCTAAACTAACTGTATACAGGTTAGCTGTATTAGCTCTGAACCACTCTCCCTAGAGATCCAGTAAGGGCATCTTCTATTGTAACTTTAATTATACTGGATAGCTATACTGGATAGCTCTATCAGTTCTAAACTGTTCTCTTTAGAGTTCCAGTAAGAGCCATTCCTGTTGGTCCAGTGTTAGTACAGGAGGAAACCTAAACTAACTGTATACAGGTTAGCTGTATCAGTTCTAAACTACTCTCCCTAGAGATCCAGTAAGGGCATCTTCTATTGTTCCAGTGTTACTTCAGGCGAAAGTCGGAAAAAACATGCGGCAACCTTTTATGAAGGTAAAGTTGTTTTTTTACTTTTCTAAATCATTGATTATAGTCACGGAATTATCTTTACTAACCTTCGAAAGAAGCACTCTTAAGGCCAGATGTATCCGTAGTGTATCTACAGCCACATGTTCCTCTGTATTCTTCGCACCTCCCGTCGTCCAAAGCATCCTTCATTATTCCTACTAAAGCCATGACAATTGCAGCAACAATCGCTTGTATAATGTTGATGATTAAGTCGATTATGCAGAAAACCAGAAAAACGATCATCTGTAAGGAAGTCGTAAAAAATATTTCTCATTTTGGAATTTGTCAATGCATAAAAAAATAGGATGAAATAATCGTAGAAGTATTCTTCGATCCGAGTTCGCGTTATCGATTTTTTATTTTCATATTCGGCCCAAACGTCGTGAAATTTTCGCAGGACGATTTCAATTCTGAGGTCCATTTTTGGCAACAATCTGTGGATAGTGAGATGAAAAATTGATGACGTCCATTCGGACCGGAGAATCGAGAACTGAGTAAAAAGCAAAGTAAGGTATGGTTTGGTTTCCTACGATGTTTGATATGGGGCATGTGAGGTGAGTCCAAATAAGTAAAGCGGCAAATTACTTACAATTGCCTTGCTTTTTGTACACAGTATAACAGCCCCAAGTACACCGACCACAATCATCTAAAAAAAATAAAAATAGGTACTCATTAGTGTACAGACATCGTCTAAGGTCGAGAGCAAAGCAAAAATGGAATGGATCTGTGCAAAGATGCAGACAAGACAAGACAAGACAAGACAAGATATATACCCCTCCAGAAAGTACGTAACTTCGACGGTAGAGCCTCGTTTTCGTGTAATGTGACAGTTCAAACCCAATGTCTCAATTATGGAAACGAGATTCTATAGTCAACGTGACATGTTTCTGGAGGAAGCGTGTATTGCACTCAGGTTTGCAAAAGAACGAAGAAATTTGAGTCAAACAACATGCACTCATTCTAATAAACTACTCGCTATAAAGCCGATCGTTGCATGTTATTTCTATGGCAACAACCACAATATGTCGCGTTCGCAGGTGTTCGCTGAAACTGCAATATTGTTACTACAACACGATTACATCAGCACGCTTTCAGTTTCACTACCGGACAGGTGTCGTCACTGTTGCCATGGTAAACTGAAAATGAACTGTGACTAAAAAATTAAACTTCATATTAGGACAATATTGTACATTGTTGCAACGGGACATTACGACAATATGTTACGACAATATTTGAATGTCACCCAGTCAGTATAAACTATGCAATAAGCAAAGATTTGTTGCTTTGTGTTGATTACATTGGATTTTGAGCATATGGAGAAAATTCTAAATTAGCCGTTCTGTGCATGTAGCTATGGCCTATTGGCTTTGTACTTAGATGAGCTACGAAAACACATAGAGTTAAGTTTTACATAATTTTGGAAACAGGCAGCAATTAAATTGAATTTGAAAACTTGTAAACAAAATAGTTACCTTCTTAAAATGTAATGTAATATTTATTTATTTATTTATTTAGCTTCGCCTATAATTACACAATCAAACAACACGTACACACAACCATTTCTGTCCAACCCGAAAACGAGCAAACTTCAGCGCCCCTGTCTATGTTTCAACATGATAGTAAAACAAAAACATACACCCTTGACCGCTAACCTAGGACGGTTTAATTTTACAATTATATTCATTTTAGAATAGCTTGATTTTTATGAGCCCAACATGACTTGGCATAGACCTAGACAAAACATATCGAAACGCAGCAAATACGCCCAGCCTCCACGTTTCAAGGTTGGACAAAAAGGTGACAACAACAAAAAGGCGGGGTCACCACAACAGCTTAAAACCAATTACTGTGGGCCCTTGGATACAGAAAACACACAACTAATATATAAATTGAAACTCATAATTGATAGTATACATGTACTAATAGCAACACGTTAATGGTTGCACGAGTTTTCGTGATGTGTTGCATTTTAAGCAGACTGTTCTCCACGTTCTGGCATCGTCTACATCATAGGATGTCTTGGCAGCGTTGTGGTAGTAGTCCAGCCTAGCAACAATGTTCTAAATCGTACCAGTGAGAGATCTTTTTGCCTTAGATTTTCTGGCAGAGAGTTGTAAGTTCTTATTACTCTGATGAAGAAAGAGCGTTGGTATGTCAGCGTCTTGCATTTGCGAGGACGGAAGGAGAGCAGGTTGGTGTCAACCGAGGTTCTAGTGAGCCTTGATGGGATAATTGGCTGCGGAAGGATTTCGTTCGAGACAATTATAATGTTGTTTACAGCTTTAAAGAAAAACATAATGTCAAGGAACTCGTGCCAGTAGGTTATTGGTAGTAAGTCTAAGGAGATCAGTCTGTCTTTGTACGTTTCTCCGCACACGTATGGTAATTTCAAAATGAACTTTGTAGCTCGTCGTTGGATGCGTTCTGTCCTCGTAATTAAGTCGATCGATTGTGGTGACCAGACTTGAGTGGCGTAACCTAGCGTTGAGCGAACAATTGATAGGTACAGTGTGCGGCGTATCTTAACATTTGTAATTTCCGTTGCAGCCCTACGCAGGAAACCAAGCATTTTGTTTGCCTTCGCACAGCGATCGAGGGTATGGTAAGACCAGTTTAACGTGTCCGTAATCCATATACCTAAATCTTTCTCTTTTTCGGTGACCACCAGGGACTTGTTATTGATCTTATATTCGTATTTGATAGGATTCTTTTTCCTTGTTACACGCTGACATTTGCATTTGTCTTGGTTGAAGACAAGGCCAGAAGATGTTGACCAGTTCTCCAAACTACTCAGGTCACTTTGTAAGGAGATGGCATCGGAAGTAGAGTCAACTTTCTTAAATAGTTTCGTGTCATCGGCGAAGGAGGCGATCTTGGAGTGCTTTACTGTATCCGGCAGGTCGTTCGCGTACAGCAGAAACAGTATGGGACCTAATATTGAACCCTGTGGAACTCCTGACAGGACAGGTCTTGCGGAGGATGTAGCTCCTAGCACAGTCACACGTTGCTTGCGATTTATCAGATATGACTCAAACCAGCGAAGGAGTTTACCAGAGATGCCATAGACGTTCCTTAATTTGCTTATCAGATATTTATGGTGGACTTTGTCGAATGCCTTGGACATGTCCATGTAGACTACATCAGTTTGCTTGCCACCGTCCAGAAGTGAACCAATATAGTCAAGAACCTCTAATAGCTGAGTTGTACACGACTTTCCGGGAATAAAACCATGTTGGCTATCATTGATTAATTGCAGCAAATGATCACGTATATTTCTCAGGACACAACGTTCTAGTACTTTCGATATTATGGAAAGAAGGGAGATAGGTCTATAGTTCTCTACTTGGCTCTTTTCGCCTTTTTTGTGTACCGGAACAATGTTTGCTAATTTCCATTCATCAGGTATTTCGCCACAGCTTAACGACTTGTTGAATATTTGGGTGAGGGAAGGTGCAATCTGCCACGCAGTTTCTTTCAAAAGTCGAGATGGTATTCCGTCAGGTCCAGTAGCCTTGGTGGTGTCTAGCGCTAAGAGTGTTCTTGCGACTTCTTCTATTGTTAGTTGGAGGTCTGACTGTCCTGACGTTGAAGGTGGAGATGATGGTGGAGAGGAACGATCATCCAGGTTATCATGATCAGTGTTGAACACTGATGTGAAGTAGCGATTGAATAGATTGGCAATAGCAGTAGGAGTAGACACATAGGTTTGTGATGATTCAGGTTCAGCGGCATTTCTCATTGACATAATATCTGGAACACTTGATTGTTTATTGTTCAGCTTGAAGATCGACCAAAATCGCTTTGGGTTTGTTTGGAAGATGCCATCAAGAGAATTGTAAAATCTTTCACGACTTTCACGGACCATTTTTTTAACTTTGATTCGTAGCTCTTTAAATTTAGCAAGAAGGATGTCACTAGATGGAGATGATCTTAACTTCCGTCGCACCGCTTCTTTCTTCCTTATCTCGTGAATAATGCTTCCATTAATCCAAGGGGGAGAATTTCTACCTTTGATCTTCTTGGTTGGGATGTAATTTCTCACCACGCTAAGGAATGTGTTTTTCCATTGTTCCCAACAGTCATTAACATTTTCTCCTGAATCGATTATGTTCGAAAAATCAGTCATCAATAAGGCTGAACGTAGTCCGTCCATATTCCCTCTACGGTAATCAAAAACAGTTCTGTTCAGTTTAGGAGCTGCTTTTATGGACGTTTTCAAATTGAAAAGGATTGTGTCGTGATCGGTAAACAAACCACTGTCCATTGGCTTAAGTTTTGTAATGTTCTCAATCTGATCTGGTAGGCTAGTGATAATTAAGTCTAAGATGTTGTTTCCTCGTGTGGGCAAGGTGTTGACCTGAGTTAGGAAGAAATCATTCAATTGTTCCGTGAACATAATGTCATCACCGGATGAAGTGGCAGATGGATATTGCCAGTGGAGTTTGGGAAAATTGAAGTCTCCACAAATTATTACGTTGGTGTAGCGTGAAGAAACTTCTGCTAGGAACGAGTTAAATTTTTCCAACCAAGATTGATCCGCGTTGGGTGGCCTGTAGCAACAACAGATGACGTATTTCAGATTTGAGGTTGTGACAAGTTCTGTTGATACAACTTCAATATCGGTTTC